TCCTTATATGCCAAAGAAGGCACTGCATTATCGCACCCCACCCCCGATAACACAGTCCTACTTGGGTCCATTTTTGGTCCTCCACCAAGTGGAACACAGGGCCTCTTCGTTGTCTTTGAGGTAATGGGAGCCCCAGCGAGGTTCTATTACGGTAATCAATCAGCTCCTCATTAACGATTTCACTTCTGATCATCTCCACCAAAGCATCATAAGAAGTGGGATTCTTGTTTCGTACGTCCCTCCAGAATAGTGTGTTCATGTTGATGCCTCTCCTTATGGTAAAAATGGCCTCTCTATCCGTAACTTGTTCGCAATAGGTCATTTCATCTGTGAAAGGGGCCAGTAGCTTTTCAAGATTTCACCTGCCTACTGCTCATGTCTTGCAACTTTTGAATGGGGGCTTCTCCTTCTTTACTAGACATATATTCGTTCAGAAAGGCCTTTTTGAGATTGGCCGACTTCTGATGCTGCTATACCAAATTTCTACAGCTCCTGTTAGCGTGAGATGAAAAACTTTGCATTTTAGCACTGACGAGGCTCCTCGTAAAGACATGTGGGTCTTATAGTTGTTGAAGTTCTTTGCCGGATCACCCTTTCCTTCGTATTTGAGTATTTTTTGGGGTATGAAGTGACTTGGGATCAGTGCGCTTCTCAATTCTTGGGAGAAGGGCAAGCTTTCGTTATCATCAACCATCTCAAATGATCTGCATGGGCCATCAAAATCATCTTCCTCAACCTGATAACGAAGGGATTGTGACGTCCCTACTTGATTCTTCATGTTCCCCTCGTTCCTCATCTCCCGCCTATTTCTAGGCGGAAGTGGCGTCCCCTGAGGTTCATATCCTTAATACTGTTCTTGCCCTCCTTGAACATGGGGAGATTTCCTTCCTATGACATGTTTTCGCCAGGTAGGCTCGTAATATAGTTGGTGGAGGTATCTACTTCCACCCCCCTCTCCACTCGGTTTCCATCTATGCCATGCATTTGAGGATATGCTGTTGTGTCGTTTTTCTCACCTTTTTGGGGAAACATTCCACGTCGAGGCGCCTGGGGTCCAGCCTGTTGGTGCATTTGCATGAGTAGCTGCTGCATGACAACGTTTTGTTGGGTCATGTTTCTCATGTTTGCAACCATTTCCCCCACCTCCCTGGCTAGACGTGCTGCAGTGCCGCTTCGCCTGTAATGGGGGCGGCGTATGTTTGCGTTTGTGCGGAGGACCTCTTCTTCAGAAGCCCCTTGCTGTCTATTTCCACCATGTGTTCCTTGATGGCTGGAACTCATCACGAGTATCTAGTTTCGGGATGGTAGTAAGTGTTTTCCCTTTAGACGTTCCTTCTTCGCGGTGGTTCTTTCTTCAAGAACCAGACCTTTTTCCAAGGTCTTGTTTCAGATTGCTTTTACCACAAGGATGTTCGTGATTATGGTATCAAAGCTTCCCACAGACGTCGTTAATCTGTTGACCGCAAAAATTGTATCAATGATGTGGCCAGCAGATCTCAAAACTTCTCACGTCCACGTAAGCTAAAATCCTAACACATTTGGACCAGACGTTAGTTAAACGGTTGAGCCAGCTAGAGGA